AGGACATCTATGGGAGGCTCTACAGATCCAGCATCATTCGTGTCAGTGAACAGCGTCATAGACTTCAGATGGAGAAAAAAAAAAGTCAGTCTTCAGTCGTGACTGGAAAGCTAGGTGTTTCATGTATGTAGTATGTATGAGAAGAAAATAATTCTTACCTCTTCCCCAAGTACATATAACATCCAAATCTGGCAGAGAAGCGAGCTTAGTCTGACTGAGGGAATTTCAGAGTGAGGAAATCAAGGAGAGAGGCAGGACACCTTCGAAGCAGGGGCCCACACAGGAGACACTCTGCAGTCAGCAGGGACACTGACTTCCTCAGGCAGCAGCCAGCTTTGCATACACTTGAGGAGAAAGAAGCTGGGGCTCTTCATGTATGAAAGGACCGTGATTTGAGTCGAGTCTGGGTGACTGGCCTTGTAGCAGATGATGCCTCACTGAACCCGTAAGCCTCAGAGTGGTGAGAAGGGCTGCACGGCCCAGTGAGGGTGCTGCCCAGGGCCAGCAAGACTGGGATGTGTGCAGTTACACAAAAGGATATAGAGGAAATGCATCGTAAGTGCTCAGCCCAGTGTCCAGTATGTCACCTGTCTTGCTTTTACCCATGACATGTTATGGCTGGAAACAGAGATTGATATTAGTTACAACAAAATGTCTCAAGGAAAATGAGCCCCCAGACTCAAGGTATTGGCTGAGGCAGCTGACACGGGTGCTCAGAAGCGATCTCAAGTCCTCTGGAAGAGCAGTATGGGCTCCTAACCACCGGGCCAGCTCTCCAGTACCTGGCAGTTTATATTTTGTTAGTTTAGTTTTGTTTTTCTTAAGACAGGATTTCTTTGGAGCCTGTCCTGGCACTTGCTCTGTAGGTCAGGATGGCCTCAAAATCAGAGATTTGCCTACCTCTGCCGGGATTAAAGGTGCGTGCCACTGCCCAGCCTGGCAGGTTCTTTTTAAAAACGATGGTGTTGGTACAGAAATGCAGCTCCAGATTAGCATGCACAGAGCCAGGGCCTGATTCCCAGCACCACATAAACCAGATGTGGTTCTCATGCTTAAACAGTTGAGAGTGGCTGTGGGCTGAAGAGAGTTTGAGCAGCCTGGGCCTACATGAGACTATCTTAACAAAACAAAACAGCTAAAACAATGCTGCCATTGTATAAGCAGCTTTTCTGAGATGGAGACACATGAAGACATTACTAGTCATGGCTTTCTGGTAAGCAGAACTCGGCTGACAGGAGTTCCTGACTGAAAACCTTGGGATCTGAGCTATTCCCATTCTTTGCTAACTCAGCTGACTTTGCAGCTCTGGCATCCTGTTCCGTCCCCCCAAACACACCCCATTCTGTTGTTTCTTGTTGCTGCACTTCTAACCAACCCACACAGCCACTTCTGTCAGCTCGTACTGCTTGAATTGAAGAGAGCAATTGCAGACTGAGCAGGCTTGCCACCTTTGTGCAACCAACACAAAGAGCTAAAGGAAACCATCATACACACCACACACACAAATACCTATGAAAGCTCATTAAATTTATTTTGTATTCAGCTGAAAAACTTTTCTTCCCCCTTAGAACTGCGGCGAGCAGTAAGAAGCAGTGTGTGGAAAAGAGAAACAGCCGCTCACCAACATGAGTACGGACCAGAGGAAAGCTTAGAAGATGACATGTTTCGCAAGACTTGTACCATGTGTGGCCACGAGCTGACGTATGAAAAAATGTGACTTTTAAAAACATTTATATTCAAATAAAGGCTCTCTTCAGATGTATCACAGTGTAGTCTTTTTAGAAACGCTTTTTAGAAAAACCCTCATGTGATGGATATGCTTAAAGAAAAATGGTCCACAGGTACACCTGTACATACATGCACACACCTCTGTGTGCCCCTTTCCTTTGCACACATGTAAGTAAAAATCAAAGTGACAAGTTAGAACTACTCCACGGGAACAAGGGACACAGTAAATCCTAGCCTGGCATAGGAGGAAGCACTTTCAGGGTGAGGCTGATGGAACCGAACTTAGCTCAGGGAGCCACAGGTCTGATGTGAACTGCTGTGGAGTCTTCAGCATGGCAGGAGTGAGAAATACCTACAGAAGCGGCACCCTGCCTCAGCGGGTGCCCAGGGCCCCGTTCTTCGGGATCTTCACGCAGCAATTTGGAAATGATGGGTCAAAAGGGAAAAAGGCTACTTTCAAAGTTGAATATCAAGACTTTCATCAAAAGCATTACACTAACACTTGAGTACTCTTATCTGCCGTACAAGTTCTCATCTAATGGGAACAACTTGCTTCCATGTTTAACACTTCTGAGGTTGGAAGTGACAGTTCAAATATTATTTCTCCATAGGCATTTGTATCAATTCAGCTAACCAGATTTTTCTTCAGTCTTGTTAAAAGTACTATCAAAAAGTACCATTAAAAACAACTATCAGAAGCAACCATTATATGTGAAAAAAAGATCAAGAGAGAGCAGGCAGTGGTGGCACACACCTTTAATCCTAGCAGAGGCTGGCAGATCTCTTGAGTTCAAGGCCAGCCTGACCTTGCAGAGTGAGTTCCAGGAGAGCCAGACTAGGCTACATAGAGATCAAAGAACAAAGACAAACAAACAAACAAAAAAAACCAAAACAAATAAAAGAATACTTACAGATTTCTCTAGAATGTAGCTCAGGGAGAATTAGCTGAGGCCGAAGCTGCTCTGAGAACAGAAGCCACTTCTAACTAAAAACATGTACTGTGCCTAAGCATCAGGAAGGAGGCCCACTCTAAGAAACATGTAGCCAAGGGCTATGCATCATTTTGACAGACACCCAAGTTGAGATAAAGTGGGTGTTTTCATCCCTCAGTGCACTAGGAAGCTTGTACAGCTCACTCTGTAGTTCAGCAGCTGCACTTGTAGAAAGTCAACCCAAATAACGTGGGCCATCATTACTAACTACTTTAGAAACATTCACTAGGGACATTCTATGTGTTTTTCATGGCTGGCATGTTATATGTGCTTTGCTAAATGTTAAACCTCAGTAAAAACTGATCTTGGACAGGCAGCCAAACTTTCTTGTAGAGAGAAGTTTCTAGCCTGATGACAGGAGTAACTTGGAGTTCTGGCTGCTGTTAAGTATTACTGCATTTTTTTGTGGGGAGATAAGGTGCTCCAAGACACATGGATTTAACTTCCTGGCTGTGGACTGTAGACAAGTTTTCCTGGGGTTTGCTTCTGTCTGTTGGAAAGATTCAACATGGTGAACCTTGTAACCAGCCTGTAGCAGCCAACAGTTAATGAACTCTCGCTGTCAAGGCCAACACAGTGCAATCTGATTGGCTATATGCCTCTGTTCTCTGGCTGTACCAGATATTAATGGTAGCTCAGGTTGGTAAAGGTTTCTCACACCGTAAACTTTTAGGAATGATACAGTTCTTAGGGAACCAGAACCTCTACCTTGGCAAAAGCCTGCTACAGAGAATCAGCACAATGTCACAGAATGCAGTGACATGTCACCTGTCTTTGGGAGCACTCCCCCCCCCCCCAAGGAGCAGCTACTCTCTGCTTTTGCATCTTTTCTTCTGTAAAATACAACAGATGTAGGTGTTCCAGCCGACAGAGCAGGACAGAGCAGGGCATATTAACAGTTTCCAGAAACTACCACCGCACAGGAGGAGTCAAAGAAGGGAAGGAGAGCACAAACTTATAGCTGTAGTGCAAGGATACCTGAACTCCACCATGCCTCAGGAAAGGATACGCAGTTACCAATGCCTTCAATAGTTAGTTGTTTGGCTACTGGAGGACCACAGCCATTTCAAATCAGTTACAGCTTGAGCTGTGTTAAATGGGAAGGAGCAACAGTGTAAACAGGATGGATATTTAACCAGGAACTCAGGTTTTATCTTTCTGAAGTTCTTGCCATCTAACCTTGATCTACTGAATTCAAATGATTAGATGATACTCCTGCTTTAAATGTGGTATTTAAAAAGCCTAGGAATTCCCATGTAATAAGACATTGTATTCTACAGCCACTGAATGTATGGTAATTAAAGACCCATATATCCAAACAGACAATTGTAACATATTCTTACTAGAATATAACATATACAAAAATAACAAATGCACAAAATTACTACTAGTAATTATATCATTATTAGCAGATTTTTCTAAGGTTTAATGAGAAGTTTAAAAATCCTAGAAATTTGGAATGTTAGGAAATGCATTATCTTACAAAACACTCATTTCACTCAAGCTTCAATAGGCTCAGGGAACAATTATCTGCCTCAGAACCCAGAGACAAGCCCCAAGCCACAATGAATTCCAAGTCCATCTCAGCTCATTTATCGCTTGCTGCACATCAGTTTGTGACATTCCGGGATCTTAGACAAATCCTTGTTGGAGGGCAGGGCATGACCAGATACTTTTCCACAATGGCTGCCAAATTTGCAATCACCTGAGAGGCGGAAAAACTGCTGCCATCACCATTGTAGTGATATTTTATTTGTATTTTAATAAATAAAGCTTGCCTGAAGTTCAGAGAGTAAAACAACTGCACCTACCAGCCTTACAGACCAGGCAGTGGTGACACACACCAGTAGCCACACTAGTTTGCCACAGAAACCTGGTGGTAGTGGTGCAAGCCTTTAATCCCAGCCCTAGAGAGGAATATAAGATGGGAGGAGACGGCTCTCAGTCTCATTCTGAGATTCCTGGAGGCAGGATCACCATTTCAGACTGAGGGAGAGGTAAGAGCTAGGGGCTGGCTGTTCTGCTTTTCTGACCTTCAGGCTGAACCCCAATTTCTGTCTCTGGGTTTTTATTATTCATGCTACAATTGTACCTCGAGATCACTGGAAGCTGGGTGGCTTCTAGTTTGGCAAATTTGGGGATTAGTAATAATAATTTTTTCTTCTAACAAGTAGTGTCATAAGATGGTTACTCAAAAACAATTGCAAGAAAGCTTCAGATAGAGGCTAAGACATCTCCGTAAGAAAAGAGACTAAGATAATAAATCATGAAATACCAAAGTTTAAAAAACAGAACTTAGGTTTATTCCAGCCATGTTGCTAAGGAGCAGAGAAAAGCTAGGCTCCCTGGTGTCCGTTGGTTGTACTCACTACTTTGCAAGCCTGACCTTGCATTGCACACACCTCAACCCTGCTGTTTTGTGCCCTAAGAAGAAGTATCAAATTCATCACAGGAAAGCTGTGTCTCACATTTATACAACGTTACGGCCACCATAACATAGCTGTCATCAAGCAACACTTGCCCTTCAGGGCAACTAAGGGAAATGTCATACTCTGGGCTCTCCTCCCCCGTTTCCCTTAGGAAGTGAAAGGCTACTACAAGAAAGCAAACATTCAAACCATCAAAAATAAGACAAATTATTTCAAGATAACAAAAAGGGAAGAAACATGACTATTAGGCCTGCAGAGCACAGAACTGCTGGAACACAGCCAGGATGTGAGGGTCTAGCTCGGCAGTGAAAAGCAAGTTCTCCAGGGTCACCATGTACTGCTGGATTATCTGGTGATGCTGTGGACACAGAAAAGAGCACTGGGTCAGGAAACCAAATGCAAGCAACCTTGCAGACCATTTCCCTCATGGCCCACCCATGCTGAGGAGGGACAAAAAACAGGGCGAACATCTCCAGAGAAGATTTGAGAGAGCAGGCAGGGAAAGGAGCAGAGGGATGAACAATGATGTAAAACCAAACCCAGTTTTAACAGCCTTCCTATGGGATCCTTGATGCAAGGCACGGCAGGAAGCCGCAGACAATTTCAGAGGGCGTCCTGAAAGTCAGGACACAATACATCACAGCTTTCTGAAAAGCAGCCTGACTAGGGAGCCAAGGGATCAAAAAACGAGACCCTTTTCTCTGAAGACTAAAATGCACTCAAAAATTTCTAGAGGACTAGGGGCTCTCGGTTAGCTTTTGAACTGGCTAGTCACTACAAGTGCCTGGGAGAGAATTACTATTTAGAGGCTTAAAGAATAGAACTTTAGAATGATTACTTTAGAACTGGTCACTTTCCTAGAACAAAGGAGAACTTAGGGAGTTAATGCCTTGAAGAGGAAAAAATGAAGCTAACACCGCTACACATCAATGTCTGGAAGCAGATGTTGGTACTCTGTGTCCAGAGACCCCAGGGGTTTACCTTGCTCCTGTGGACATGTTTACTATGGGAATTTAAGATGTTAAAATACCTTTATGAAACTAATCCCCTCTTACATTTTAGATTACAGCTATGCTGGGCTCCCTACCACGGAAAATGGCAACCCAGAGTATGAGTGATATAAAACCAATTTGTCTAAATATTCTGATGAACAGTAGTGTCAACAAATGGACATAAACTAAAGGGCCTATAGGAACTACATAACCTCATACCCTCCCTCCTGATATACTTTATGAGGACTTTTTGTGGTCTTATTCATGGCAGACAAGTGTTTTACCACTGAGATTCCTGAGCGTTTTTTAAATCAGAACGCCTGTGTGACTGAAGACAAACCTGCAGGAAGATCTGCTGCAGCCTCTCTATGCAGTTCTTGTACCACGGGGTCAATATGCTGGTGCCATCAGTTTCACATCGTACCAAGTGCTCAGTTAGGATCATGATGAAACGCTGCAAAGGATGGCAGTGGAGGAAGCATTAGAGGGAGAACTTAACTGCTGAACAAATCCAAACCCAGAGTTCTCAATGGTCTTGTTGCTCCACCAAACTGCTGTGTACTCCTGACTTTCAGGACAGTCAACTTAGCAAAGGAGAGATTTAATGTTAAATCCTTTAACCTCAGGTTGGAGAGATGGCTCAAAGGTTAAAAACACTGGCTGTTCTTCCAGAGGTCCTGAGTTCAATTCCCAGCAACCACAAGTTGTCTCACAATCATCTATAAGGAGGTCTGGTGCCCTCTTCTGGCATGCAGGCAGAACACTGCATACATAATAAATAAATCTTAACACACACACACACACACACACAATTCTTTAGCTTCTTCTAGAAATATCCTGGCCTCTGTTCTAAGAAAACAGCATGTTAATGACAACCTATGTACAAAAATGTTCACAGGAAAGAAGGCGGTCACCTAAATCATCAACCGTAAGGGATAAATGACACAGATATGTAAACAACGAGCAGACAGCACAGATTCACTGCAGCCTCCAAGCAGTGACACTATTCTGCAAAGTTCCGTGTCCTCACTATTTTTGTGATTAAAAATGGCAACTTTTCAAACCAAGGGAATGGCTCCTTTTTTATCCCATACGCCAAGCCGGCTTACCTGGAAGATGACGAGGAAAAGGTTCTTTTGTTCACTCTGAGCAGACTCGACCTTCTCCTGCAGTCGTTCTATCTGCTCCTCCAGGGCCCCGTCTTTCCTGTCACTGCTTCTGTCATCGTCCTCACTTCGCTACAAAGTAACAATCCAATGCTCAGAATCCATCAAGAACAGTGAATGACTATAATGCCAGGCTTTGCTATGTGGCTTGGGTTGGCCTTGAATCATGCATGATCTTCCTGCCTCCGCCTTCGAGTGCTGGTTTTGGGGGTGGGAGCTCAGAGATGCTAGGCAAGTGATTTTTATCACTGAGCTATGCCCCTAGCCCTGGGGAAGGGTTTTATATTAATGGGCTTTTATTCTTGTAGTTTTAGCTCTGGGAAAACTTAGTGGTACTAGTTGTGGGTAATGACTATGAGGTGCAACAGTCATTAAACTTACTAATATCTCTCCCCTATCTTCTACTCTGGTGGAAACACTAAATACCAGGGAATACTGTAATGGAGAACACTCGCTATTATCATTTATTTATTTACTTATCTATTTATTTATTTTTCTGGAACAGGTTTTTCTGTATAGCCCTGGCTGTACTGGCCTCGAACTCAGAGATTGTCTTGCTTCTGCCTCCTAAGTGCTGGCATTAAGGCATGCACCACCACCATCTAGTGAGAATACTAATGTAAGTCAGGATCCAGCCAGCTCACTGCTTCCCTGTAAACCAGTGCTTCTCAACTTTCCTAAAGCTGTGATCCTTTAATTCAGTCCCTCATTTTGTGATCCCCCAATCATAAACTTACTATGTTACTACTTCATACTGTAATTTTGTTACTGTTATGATCATAAGGTAAATATCTGACATTCGACCTCCAAAGTGGTTGAACCCATAGGTTGAGAACTACGGCTCTAACACAATTTTTATTTCCATGAGAAGTACTGACAAGTTGGGACTTGAAACTGACTTGCACCACCACTCCACATAGCACCTATGATTGTCTCCCTTCCCCTCTGTGCCAGACTCAGAAATACACACAGACTTTTCTGGGGAGCCAAGGTAGAGATGTAAACTAGAGAAGAAAACTCTGTAATCAGCGTCAGTCCCACGGCACACAACTGTCAAGGCATGGACTCCCACTACCCTGCAGACTAGGTTATAACCTCTAACCACGCAGGATTCAGCACACGACTTACTCGTTTGTGTTGTCTTGCCAGTTTCTCTTTAGCTTCTTCGAGCTCTTTCTGGATCTTTAAAACATGTTTGTTCATCTTACGAATTGTAGAGTGCAAAATTTCCCAAACAAACAACCTGAACATAATACAGCAGTTGGTTAATGTATGCTAAGCTACACTTACAGAGAAAAAAAAAACATGTTTTTCAGATTACCATTCCTAAGGGCTGACAGGGCCTTCTATTCCCTGGGCAGAGTTATGCATTCTCCAGCAACACTTTATTCACCACTGCTGTGAGTTTTGAGAGCGTCTAGCTCCATTCACCTGACTCAGGTGGGCTCTCAGAAGGCAGTACCACACCAGTACTTGTTTAGCCCTTAAAACATAGAGTTGGTTTTCTCCTTCCACCAGGTGGGTTCTGAGGATCAAACCAGGAAACTCAGCTCACTAAGCCTGACAGGAAGCTCCACGACCCACTGAGCAATCTTGTTGGCCCTGTTAAAACTTCTGAACACACCTGTCACCTCAGGACTCAGTATATTTCGGACCAGTGTGTGCTGGCAGTAACAGGTATAGTGGCGAAGTTAAAGGGCTGTCATAGAGTTTAATTTGATCTCATTTGCTTTCATTGCATGTCAATCTTGGCTGTCCTGGTTCTGATCATCTTTAAAACCTGTGTAACTTCATAAAAATGTTACCAGGTGATATGAACTACTTCACACAGGTCACACGCACTCTAAATTCTGGTTCAAACCTTGTGAAGTCACGAGACAGCTCCGATGAGAAGATCCAGTTTGCTACTGCTGCACAGTCAACAATCTGCGTGCGAATCATCTTATCAACCAGGACAGCAATCATCTACAATGGAAACAGAGACAGGGTCAAGCTTGACTGACAAGTGGGCAAAACGACAACGCGATGAAAATAAGTTAGCAGGGCTATAAAATCTGATTTCAATGGCGATGGAACTGACCAGTTTAAGCAATAGGTCTTCATTTTTATTTTTTCTTCTAGGAGAGTCTCATATAGCTAAAGGGGGCCTTGAACTCCTGATTTTTTTTTTTTATACCATTTCCTCCCAAGTGCTGCAATTACAGGGATGTGCCACCACTCCTGATTTAACTAGTCAGTCTTTAGACTTAGTTTGCTCTTTGCTAGGCTCTAAATACTGTAAGAAATACTGTGTTAACAATAAAGATTGCATGAAAAGAAACTCTGGAATTTAATAGCACTTAATATTTGGGAAATTTTACTTGATAATACTTCTATAAAATATGTGTGTGTATAATTTCAATTGAAATCTCCAGCTGAAAAACAGCATCTTATGGGTCTTGTTTATAGAGATGGATAAACATAACTACTTTCTACAAAATACTGCTGTCCAGCAGCAGCACAAACCAACCACAATGCCGTATGAAGAACATTAGCAAGGGCTGATGAGATGGTTCAGTTGGATAAGACATTTGATGCTCAGCTTGACAACACAAGTTCAATACCCAGGACCCACTGGGCAGAAGAAGAGAGAACTGGCCTAAATTTGTCATCTGACTTCACACAAGCTCTGTGGCTTTCCCATGTACTCCCAGTCATCAATATAATTTAAGAATTTATCACAAAGAAGGTATCGATTATTTCTACAACACAGAGTTTATGGAATTAATAACCATTCTACTGGCGGATTCAAATATACTTAATTTCTAATCTGCACACCTACATAGCCAGGACATGGTGTGGGAAGTCCTTCTGTATATGTATTGCTATTGCTGGTTAATGAATAAAGAAGCCACTTTGGCATATGATAGGACAGAATAGAGCTAGGAGGGAAAACTAAACTGAATGCTGGGAGAAAGCAGGGAGGGTCAGAGAGGCCATGAAGCTGCCAGAGGAGAAAGACACAGCTGCTAGCTGGAACCTTGTCTGTAGGCCAACCTCATAGTAAAATATAAAATAATAGAAATGGGCTAATTTAAGATGAACAGCCAGCTGGAAACATGCATAAGCTAATAGGCCAAGCAGTATTTTAATTAATACAGTTTCTGTGTGCTTATTTTGGGTCTGGGTGTCCAGGAAATGAACAAGCAGGCTCCCCCGACACTCACTATGTCTAAATAAATAGTTGTTACCTGTGGATGATTCCTCCAAACTTCAAACATAACTCTCAGCACATGTAACTTCCCCTCATCACTTTCTGCGAGAGTTTTGAAGACTTCATGAAACCTTTAGACGAAGGTAAAAATACGACATGTAATTACACAAAAGCCTTTTCAAAGTCCCTTTAATCTTACTCAATTTAAAAACACAATATGCAAATGCAAGATAACCAAAGTAATCCCTAAATACATAAAAGCATTAGACTTTGGCCTGCAAAGAAGCTGCCACCAACTTGTGAGAGCACTCTCTTTTACTCTGGATGCTTACCACATCTGCTCTCTCTTTAGAGGCCAACCTTGGGGTGGGCTTTCATTTCTGCTCTATCTCTTTGGAAAGACAGACAGGCTGGATCTCTCTGCCCACCTCTCTGCCCGTGTGAATGACTGTACTAGCTCACCTGCCACACGCACATCTACACTGTATACTCAACCATGGGGAGCATTCTGGCCACCACAAACCGAATCTCATGCTATCAAATTATGTAGTAAGATCTTCATATTTAACAATTTTAGGCAAAAATTACTACAGCATTGGTATTCAAATGCACATACTTACTTTGCAAGAGCACTGAAGGAGTGACTGAAGGATTTGGCTGCCAAGTGCAGCAGAGTCTGCACAAAGACCTCTATCTTCAATGGGTTAAAACTGAAGCCTTCATCTGAAAACATTTACAGTACGAAATAAACATTAAGTACAGTAATTTCTTGGTGTCAAACCCAGGGACGCTAAGCAGATAGTGTGCTCTTAAGACATTCATATAATAATCTGTCAGTAAAAGTAAATAATCAAAGTCTACTCAAAATATAAAACTAGGCTGGGACAGCCAAAACTACATAATGAGACCTCATCTCAATCCACCATCGAGAAAGCAAACCCTTAATTCTCTCTTTTTTGGAGTAATTTTCTCAATTCTTCTATAAAATTCAGTGTTTTAGTTTTTTTGCTTTTTAAAATTTATGACAGGATCTTACTATGTACTTGTGGTTAGCCTGGGACTTGATACACAGACCAGATCTCAAACTGCCTGGATTATCAGGTTTTCACCACCATGCCTGGTGTAAGACCCATTTCCTTAAAAAAAAAAAAAAAAATCCCATATATCGCCTCCTTTATATTCTGTCTAGAAGGTGTCAAATATTAATTAAAGCAGCAAACCTTTTAACCACTATATTAAGGTATCTGCCAGAGTCTAAATTTAGTATTATCATGGCTAGCTGACACCTAGGTGTGCTCCCCAACCAGATGGCTCTGCAGACTTCTCATCTCCTCTTATCAGTACAACTCTGCCAATTTCCTCATTCATACCAGGAAAATACAACAAAGCTAACTAAGTAAAGATTAGGTATTATTAGTACTGTAGTAGTTCATAATTTAGAGAAAACATCAATTATCTCAAAAATATCTAACACACTAAGATTTCCCATTCAGCAATCCAAATATATACTAAAAGCATAAACATTAAAAAAAAATCCTTGAATAAGTAATGTGTGATTTACTTTGTATGTAGGACATTTTTTTTTTTTTTTTTTTTTGTTAACTGTTGCTTGTTTCTGAGACAAGCCCTCATTATGTAGTTCTGGCTGACTTGAAATTCATTATGTAATCTAGGCTGGCCTTAACTCAAAGGGATCCACCTGCCTCTGTCTCCCAAGAGCTGGGATAAAAGGCCTGGACTACCACATCCAGGATGGTTTATATTCTTAATATAACTTCACAGGGATTTTAGGGCCTCTTCGGTAAGGGGGTGAATATGCAGGTCCTAAGAGCAGCAGATCGACAGGATTTGATAGAGCTCATGTTTCATCAGAGCTGTGGATGCTTTAATGTGGCCTATGTGCCTAGGCTGAAGAAGTAAGTTTCTTACCGTTATCATCATCCTGGTTAGGATTTGGTACGTCCTTCAGAATGCTGAAGATTTCATCATTAGTTGCCTTACTTTTAAAAGCAACAGATAAACAGAGTGCCACGGAATGTCCAGGAAGAGAATCTAGATACAAAGCAGAGGGGAAGGTAGATCAAGCTGGCTCTGTGAGCAGCTAGTAGCAGACTTTAAAATATAACACCCCTCAGCTAAGATCAGCATTTAAACCATTTATGATACTATATATGAAAGCTTCACCCAATTCAATATTTTGTTAGTTTTTTTTCTATCTAGACTAAGAGGCTCTGTGCTTACTGTTAGGGTTTTGTGAGTGTGTGCTCATGGTATAGAAGTTATGTTAAGAGTGAAGGCATCATCAAAGTAACAGGAAATCTACTTTCAGTGCAGACAATGAAGACAACATGAAGACCTGTAATGACTGATGTCTATTGCAACAGGTCACAACAAAGACTCAGCTAACACCTGTTGTGAGCCTGTCCCTGAAAGTGGAAGAAAATTCTATGAAAACCAAACAAACCAAAAAATAAAAAAATAACAAAAAACACCAAGAAAATAAGAACTCTTTGTCACCAGGAAATTTACTTCAGAAGTAGACAAAAAGCATTTTTATGAAATAGGTTAACTAAAGATTAAAATTATTTTACAAATAACAAGCTTGGGCCAGACCTAAGGAAGAAACAGGAACTAGAGATTAAAGAGCTTTCTATATTGAGGTAATATAATTGCACAAAGTAAGGAAGAACAGAGTTTTCAGACACAGAGAACTTCCTTGCAGCACAAACCATGAGGCTCATGAATGAACTACAACATTCAGTGCAATCGCAACAACACAGCGGGATAACCGACATCTACCTTGGTACCACTGGCCACCACTGCACATACTGCCTTCACAAAGCATAAACTATGCAAAGCAGAAAGACCACAGCAACTCCAGCACCTCTGATTCAAAGTGCAAGTGGTAAAAGTCATGTTTGCAAATTTACTTTTAGAATCAGACTGCCATGTGCTCCCAGCTAGTCTCATGTCAACTTGACACAAGCTAGTTATCTTAAAGGAGGGAACCTCAACTGAGAAAACGCTTCATAAGATCCATCTGTAGCAAGCCAGTAGGCAGCATTCCTCTATGGCCTCTGCATCAGCTCCTGCCTCCAGGTTCCTGGTCTGCCTGAGCTCCTGCCTTGACTTTCTTCAATGATGAGCAGTGATATGGAAATATAAGCCAAATATACACTTTCCTTCTCAACTTGCTTTTGGTCGTGGTGTTCCATCATAGCAACAGTAACCCTAACTAAGACAAGATGATAACCAATTCAAGAAGTCTCCATCGTAACAAATATACACTTTCAGTTTCAGTACATTCCAGATATAAATTCATCTTACTATTTTTTGTACCATATTAAAATGTCATATATAAAACAATGTAAACAATATAAATAGAAAAACGCTATAAGTTAATAACTACTAATGAGATAACAACAAAACCCTTAATCTAGTGACTAATGGTGGGTCACTTTGCAAATAAATTCAATTCTAAGAAAAAGTTGATTTTTCCTCCTATAACTAACTGGCTTCAGAGCATCATGGACCAGTACTTTTTAAGGAGAGATTTCAAGTCGTTTCATTACTTACTGCTACTTTCATCTCCATACTTGTAAATGCAGGTTGGGTTTGCAGGACACAGAGCTGAGAAGGTGGGAGGAACAATATCTAATATATGTTGATGGTAAGACAACCTACAACACAAATAAGAGCCTCAGAAAAGGTCTCATGTTTTAGTCTTCGGTAATACTCAACTTGTCCAGAGAGCCAGGATCCAAAATCCCAAACTCAGTGGACAACCAAGAAGCAAACGGGGACAAAGTCCTCCAGGCCTTTGAGTAAGTAAGCACAAGTAAACCCAGCCTGCCTCAAAATGCACTGACTTTGCATTGAGGTGTAGGCTGGGGCATCCCCTAGTCGGGTGGTGAAGGGCTGGGTGGAGGGGTAAGGCTGGCATGGCTGGGAGGCTGGTTGTGATGCACCAAAGAAAGGAAGAGCCAAGTTTCTTACCACCTGACAAAGCGTTTATACATCATGTTATAGATAAGGGATGGCTAAAAACAATGTTGGGTTGGATGTAACACAGAGAGAAAAGTATTTAGAGATAAATGTAATTTGTGTCTTTCCAAAGGCCTAAACCTACTTATCCCTCAAAAAATACACATTAAAAGCTCAGATCACAGTTCCCCCAAAACATATTCTATTTTTATAAACTAAGGCTTTTTAAATAGAAGATTCTAGAGGAGGACTAAGAAAACACAAATTAGACAAAAATACAAGCTTAGAAAATGAGAAAATTCTCATAAATGTTGGGGGATATTAAAACTATCTTTTGGCTTAATTCACATAAAATCCAATGGTACAGCTGATTAATTGCAGCCCAAATCCTAACTAGAATGTGAGGTGGAAGATGGACAAAGACCAGGATTTAACAAAGAATACTGTGGACATGCATCACAGATGCAAAGGCGAGAGAATCAGATGCTGACCAGTTCAAGCCGTCTCCTCAGGAGAAGCAGAGAGACCTAAATCAAGGAGGAAGTACAGAGGCTTATTTACCTCATGCATTTTTCTAGAACTTCTCTTACAAACTTTGGTTTGGGACTTTCGAGATCCTGAGTGAGACAATCAGACCTGAGGAGGAAATGTGGTTTTTTTAAGTATATATATATACACACACACATACACACACACATAATTTTTTTTACCCCCAAGACAGGGTTTCTCTGTGTAACAGCCCTGGCTGTTCTAGAACTTGCTTTGTAGACAGACAGGTCTCAAACTCAGAGATCCACCTGCCTCCACCTCCCAAGTGCTGAGATTAAAGGTGTGTGCCACCACTGCCCAGCACAATAGACTATCTTAAAGTGAGTTTTAAATAGGAAGGTTCTTTTGTGTATGTGTATATTCATGTGCTGTTCTCCTGGTGTGCTTACTTTGGTTTCTCACTAGGCTGGCTTAGTCAGTGAGCTTCAGGGATCTGCCGACCTCTATGTTCCCAGTGCTGGGAATAGAAGCCCATGCCTCCATGCCTGGCTTTATTTTTTTAAACAAACAAACAAACAAACAAACAACAAAAAAACAGGATTTCACTGTGTAGTGCTGGCTGGTCTGGAACTTACTACATAGACCAGGCTGGCCTTGAACTCACAAAAGATTGATCTGCCTCTGCCTTCTGAGTGCTGGGCTTAAAGGAGCGTACCACCATGCAGGACTCGATAGCAGCCTTTTAAACATGGGCTCTGTGGCAAGCACTTTACAGACTTAGAGATCTCTAATGTAAGTTTCTGAATAAGGTAGAATAAAACATTACACTTACCAATCTTCCCAGCTCCAACGGAACTGGAAGTTACTTAGATGATGAGAAAACCAATTAATAAACCTACATTGGGGAGTGGGGCAGGGGAGAAGAGAAAGGAAGAATGCAATTTAGACCAGCAATTTATGTGGCTAAACCTTGTCTTTTACACCCCACTCGCTACCTGCGGCTCTTTGACTGTTTTCTCAGCAAAGACTCTAACTCGCTGTCTTACAGTCCCCAGCTATCTCAGTTCACATGACGGTGCATCCTTTTATTCTTGTTAGACAACAGACATGATTTAAGCTCATACTTTGTGCAAAATATAAATGATTCTCACAGCTACGAAGGAGTATATTATTTTTTTCTCCTATAACTGTTGATGAAATGGAAGCAGTAAAAAATGTAGACAAATGTTTTAAATAATTTACAAATAGCAGAACCAAAGTAAGCCTGTCATATGTTGTTGGGAACTGAACCTGGGTTCCTGGGAGAGCAGTCAGTGCTCTTAACCACTGAGCCTTCAATCCAGCACTTAGCTTCTTACATTTATATTATGACCTTTTAAAAAACTTTGTGTTTATGTTATATGTGCAAATGTATACAGTGGCAGAGGCCAGAGTGTGGTGGATCCTCTGGAGATGGTTATAAAGCTGCCTGAAGTGGGTAGGAGCCGAGAACCAAACTCGGGTCCTCTGTAAGAGCAGCAAGCGCCGTAACTGCTGAGCCAGCCCTCCACACCCACTACAACCTTTTCATGACAGTCTATATGCATTAAGTCCTGCTTAAAAATATACTTAGTGCCGGGCGGTGGTGGCGCACGCCTTTAATCCCAGCACTCGGGAGGCAGAGGCAGGTGGATCTCTGAGTTCGAGACCAGCCTGGTCTACAAGAGCTAGTTCCAGGACAGGCTCCAAAACCACAGAGAAACCCTGTCTCGAAAAAAAACTAAAAAAAAACAAAAAAAACAAAAAAAACTTAGTTCTCTAGTCAAGAGAGATCTTATTGTGTTAAATAGTGCTGTGAAGGTCATAAGAGTACTCAAAATGTTTACAGAATTGATACTCTACTAGAGCAGAGACACTGGAAGACACTTTCTTAAAGCACTTCCATCAAAAAATCTGACTTCAATCACTTGAAATTTTCAGGGTCACTGACAGAGTCCCAATTTTAATAAAGAATTTGGGTAAAAGATATGGAAATTGGACAACTGTTCAATTCTTCTTCCAATCTGATTTGGGAAATGGACAGAAGAAAAAAAGAACCAGCTGGCAGTCACACAGACTTTCCCAAAAAAAAACAGTGAGAATGAAATGACCACGCTGTAACAATCCAAGACAGGTTTTATACATTTATTTAAAATAAATGGAGTCTTACAGCTGCAGGTTTGAAGATACTCCTCTGGAATTATTTTCAAAACAGATAATCTATAAGTGTTTATATATAATAAATATAGTATTAAATTTATCATTCAAAGTAAGCTTATCTTAAAGACTTACATATGCAATTAAGTAGGGAAAGTTAAATGATGCCTAAGCTTCACGTGCTCAAGTAAGAATTGGAATTAAAGAGAAGCAAGAACGGGCATCATCAGAGGCTGAAACAGACTAGAAGCCATGGTGTTCTAACAAGCAAGCTGTCACACAAAGGGGTTTGGAAAACAGGGAACAATTTGGGAACCCTTAAGACAGCCTTCTGATAAACTCTTGAGGGTGCTAACATAACAGTACAGAAGTAAGCAAACCAATGCTGTACCTGTCTACACATGTAGTACTCATCGTGTCCAGACGCATATACAGCATCTCAGTCGCCTGTGCAAGCTGTGGATTGAAGATAAGGAAAAGTCCTTCCACTCTCCTTTAGAGTACGCGGTGACATGAAAACAAACCGTGTCCTCCCGGTCTGAATCACCAACAACTTCATGTGCCTCTCATCCTTTCACACCGCTCATCTGTTCCCTGAGTTCTGAACTGAAACTGTCCACGACATGCAATAAATCTGGCTGTATCCACCTCTGTGAAATCAGCTACTATTTTCATCACCTCTACAATTTCCCCAGACTTCTCTAATTCAGTCCTTCCTCAGTCATTCTAGACCTCTCCCCTCAAGCATCTAATGGTCTCTTGTCATTAAAGGATTTTCACATTTTTCTAGAATTTTACAAAAACAGTATCAAGACCCGTGAATCTGTTATCTTTCCTTCAGCATAAATTATTTTTCAACTCATGCTGTCACTGTAATAAAAACAAGTTCTCTTTGTTGAATATTATCATTACAAGAAACAAACTGTTTATCCATGTGTTGTTGGAGATTCAGGTTACTTCTGGTTTCAAAATATTATAAATAAAATTTATAAACATTGTGCCCAGTTCTCTCTAAAACCTCATACCAAAAACCAACATTACCACAAAACAAACAAAACACAAATACAAAAATAAAACATTTTCTAAAAACTGTAGCAACCACCAGGAAGAAACCACCTTCAAAGAAAATTTCATAGGAAATAATTAGAGATGGATGCTCGGGACATACAAAAAGAAATGGACACCAAGAATGATAGGGACAGATACATCTAAATGGATATTATGCATATTTTTTTCTTTCAAATGCAAAAAAGATAAAATAAGCATACTAGAAGGGGTTTTCTGATCTTTTTATTATCGGAAAGGAAGGCCAGAACCGAGGAGAAAGATATGTCTGTTATGCGTGTGTGCACAAACATACATGAGGAGGGGACAAAATGTAGTAACAACTAAAACACTTTATAATCTAAGAATCAGACAGTAAGAAAAATAAAATGGGCATGAGAAATAGTGTGCGATCAAATGACACTGTCAGACTGGAGAGAAGTGCAGTGGTTTACAAGACACACAGGAATGGAAGGATACAGCAAGCTGTAAGGAGAGTTATCTTAGCTAAAGAAAGCCGTTGATGCTTATTGTTAACAATCCAGTAGCACCATGGATCACGTGGAAGAGGAAGGAGGTGGAGAGACTGAAGAGACAGAGGTGGGGATGACTCCAAGGACAGCAGAATCTTCCAGACAGCGCAGGGCTGAGACACAGGAGCTCCCAGAGCTGCACAAGACAGCATGCACAAGGCGTGCCCAGTTCAGGTCAGACAAAATCCCAGCATGAGGAGGGCAAGTGGACACAGAGCTGACCCTAGCCAAGACTCTCTGCAATTGATACCTGCTGGGAAAAGCAGCTGTCTCCAGTGGAGTATCACTGGGTTATCAACCAGACTCCAGGGCAGGCCATGTGCACGAGCTGGCTAACATGAAACAAACTCCATGCTTGTGTATGTGTGTGTTTTGTTTTAATATTTTCTTTTCCCCTCCCAATTTTCATTTTTTTTCCTTGTTTTTGTTTTAAGAGACAGTGAGTTGAGTGGTTAGGATCTGGGAAAAATTGGGGAAGAGGACAGAATATAATCAAAATATACTGCATGAAAAATTTTTGATGAAAAATTATCTATCTGGACAGCGGTGGCACATGCCTTTAATCCCAGAACTTGGGAGGCAGAGGCAGGTGGATCTCTTGTGAGTTTGAGGCCAGCCTAGTTCCAGGACAGCCAAAGCTGTTACACAGAGAAACTCTGTCTCAAAAAACCAACCAACCAAACAAACAAAAAATCCAAAACAAAAACCAAAGAACAAAACACACACATACATATATTTAAAAAAAAGAACAAAAATAAACAAAAAATAAGGCCTTTTAAGACAAACGCAATGCAACATAAGGTAGAACCACTCCAGAGTGGTAAAAAACTTACTTCACCAAGGGCAAAACAAATTGACCAAATTTGTACCAAATATTGACAAAGCAAAACTGATGGAACTAGAGAAATGAGCAAACCCACAGGTATAATGGGAACTAACATCACTCCTAGTAACTCATGGAAGTAGCACAACACACATGCATGCATGTGCGCGCACACACGCTACAGATAAGGAACTATTTATTTAAATAATACAATCAATGGCACTTATCTAATGGGCTTATAGAAGACCTGAAGTCCTGAAAAGGCAGAATGTAATTTTCTTCAAAAAACTGTTATTTTAAAAGGCAAAGGAGCCAGGCACTGGTGGCACACATCTTTAATTGTGAGGCAGAGGCAGGCAGATCTCTGTGAGTTCAAGGCCAGTCTGGTCCACAGAGTGAGTTCCAGGCCAGCTCAAACCCTGTCTCAAAAAACAAAATGGCAAAGGAATAGCTGGATATGGCCTCAAACCTATAATCCCATCACTTTGGAGGCCGAGGCATCCAGGCTACAGAGTATGACCCTATCTCAGGAAACAAACACAAGTCAAGGGAATGGGAGGTAATACCAGCACTATTAGTATGGCATGAAAGCAGAGGGATCCTGCCGGGAGGACAAAGGAGCGTGTATGCCATAGCACCACGTTCTATTTTAAGCAGGGGGAGATGATGCATGTCAACTTCATAAGCATGTATTTTGTCTGGTCTTATTTTCCATTATCCCTAAAACCCAAAGCACAGGAAATTGAGAAAAGATAGCTCCAGAATGTCATCTTTTAAAAAGCACAGCCAAGGGGTAAACATTTGAAAACATGAAAGGATACAACTTGGGGCAAAGAGCCTGGCTGAAGCTTGCACAGCTCGATGAGCAGTGTAGTGTACATCACATCGATGTGAGGGGGCGCTGGGAGCTGAAACAGCTCTGCAAAGATCACCTGGAAACATAAGGTAAGAGAGATCCACACGTTACAACCTAACCCTAAGTCCATGGCACCTGCAATGGAGAACGAATTACCTTTATCCTTAACAGTTATTATGCTTTCAGACATCTACAGCTCAACAGCATAATGAGCACCCCCCTTTTCTATATCAAGTGTCCGCTAGGTGAAGGCTGCTATGACCCACACTGCCGAGACAAATGTGCAAAAATAATCTATCCTTTGAAGTCTATATCAAAGGATGATAGAGCTGCATTCCTGTGGGTACTGAGAACTCTTAGTGGATCAAGGATTGAGACAGCTGAGTATTCTACGTGGCTACTCACAAAAGACCCCAGATCTTTTTGACATGCTATTTCTTACCCCTTCCTCAAAGTCTAAAGCCCTAGTCTCAGGAATTCTGTATTTTTTTTTTTCATATTTAAAAATATGACTTAGAGCCATGATAGCACATGCCTGGAGTCCCAGCAAATCAGGAAGAGTTGGCTGATATGGTGACATCTAGTCTTTTTATACCTCCCCCACCCCACTCCCATTTTCCACAACAGTGTTTCTTTGTGTAACAGTCCTAGAACTTTTGTAGACCAGGCTGACCTCAAACTCAGAGATCTGCCTGCCTCTGCCTCCCGAGTGTTGGGGTTAAAGACACATGCCACTTAAAAGAGGTGATGGGGGGGGGGAGGAAGAGACAGAGCGGGGGGAGAGAGAAAGAGAGAAAGAGAGAGAGAGAAGAGGCAGGTGAGGCCAACAAGATGACTCAACAGGTAAAGGCTCTGAGTTTCAATCTCCTTTCTTCCTTTTACTAGCAAGACTGAGAACCAAAACTGGCAATTTCCTTGGTTTTCTCTTCATTCTCAGAGCCTGGTAAGCAGCAAGGAGAGCACAGGTAAACAAAGCCAGGAGGCCCCGTACAGTCCTCAGACAGACTGGGAAAACCAGTTAGCACCACATGGAATGCATACCTCAACTATGTGGTAGTTCAAGGGGATCTTGTTCTTCCCTGGGTAGCTCACCAGCTGTGCAGCACTGTAAGAAGTGTGAGTCCAGTTAGCTAGCAAGTGTACAAAGACACACACAAAACCCAACAGCTTCAAATGCAGTGAGCTTAGCCAAAAAAGAACTTGCAGTAATGTTCTAGTGTTAGGTTATTTATTAACATGTTATAAATTGTTTGTCTTCCACACAAAAAGGAAAAGTAATAATACCAGCACCTGCAGATCTAACTCAGCACATTCTTACAGGTGGTCCACTCCTAAAGACAACACTTCTCAAAACCGAAGCCAAAACTTTCTAGCTGTATGAAAATGTATTAATACCTAGGTTTCTAAATGTTAGAAAACAGAAAAAAAAACATTAGTAAGCTTTAATTTCCATACATCCAAACTAAAACCAGCCTACTGTTTCACGTTAGCATATTTGGAATGTATGTACCTGTGTGGGCTGAACAGGAATGTGGAAGTCAGAGGTCCAGAGGTCAGTGCTGAGTGTCTTCAGTCACTTCTAATATAAGGCCTCTCATTAAAACTGGGGTTTAGGGACTAGAGAGATGGCTCAGCAGTCTAAGAGCACTGGCTGCTCTTGCAGAGGACTCAGCTTCAATTCCCAGCACCCACATGGCAGCTCACAGCTGTCTGGAACCCCATTTCTAGGCGACTCAAAGCCATTTCCTGGCCTTTGAGGGCACCAGATTGAGATACATGCAGGAAAAATACCCATACACATAAAGAATACTCCAAACAAACAAAACACCTGGGGCTCACGGGTTGGCTTGACTGGATGGACAGCGATCCCTAGGGATACTCCTGTTTCGGTGTCTCCAGAACTGAGATACAGATGAGTGCCAACTGTTCCATGGGTGCTGGGCACCCAAACACTGGTCCTCATGCTTGCTAGGCTATCTATCTCTTCAGCCTTACACACTCCCAACAGATTTTTATTGTTCTTATAAAATCATCAAAATGGTTTCCGACCCCCTTTAAAAGGACCATGGAGAGACTCTCACCAAGTTTTCCTTTCCTTCCAGTAGGATTTTATGATGCAGTGAAGGTTCTCCTCTATGACAAACCTCTCCACCGAATGACTCCCTGGCATCACAGGACCCTGGAAAGAAGATCAATGTGCTCATGCACAGAATCACAAAACAGATCTCTTTCATTTATTTAATAAATACCCAAATCTGGGACTGAACTGTCATGTTAAATACCTACCATAGAATCAAGAGTGCATAGTGCTCCCGATTCATCAAATACCCACCAGGCCCATTTTACAAATAAATTAAGATAAAACAAAACAAAACAAAAAAATCTATCTACCTACCTACCTACCTACCTATCTAAAAACTCATTCCATCCACCCATCCATCCAGTGTGGGTGTGTGCTGCCATGGCACATTTGTAGAGATCATAGAACATTCTGTGGGAACTGGTTCTTTTTTACCATGCAGGTTAGCCAATTATGACGGAACTCTGGTGCCAGATTTCATGGCCTGTGCTTTTATCCACTGAAATATCACCCAATTTCTAAATTTAATAAAGACTTCTTAAAGACACTATCAAAATACAAAAGAACGCAACATTTCCATTTTGAGGGAACTATTTTGGGGTACTTATCTTTCTGATAGAGGGAGGACAGGCACAGAGTAAAGCACCAGCAAGGAATATAATACATTCTGAGGTCAAACTCTTGTTTCCTTTGCTATAATAATTCATCACAAAGATTAAATGTCATGAATATAAACTAGATTTGCAGTTGATAACCCTAAACTAAACATCATGTAATTGTGAAGCAAAGTGTTTTCTTATTATTTAATATAGCAAAACAGGCAATCAAGTCCTCCCACCATTCTGGGAAGGCTGGACTACTGGACGGGAACCAAAGCCAGGTATCAAGTTAAACCAAGCCTTTCCCACTATACTCTGGTCATGCTCTGTTTTTGGGCTGACCCAAGGAGGAAAAGGCTGAAACTCAGACTGAAGAGCAGGGAACATTTGGAATCTCTGCTTTATTTCTGTCTGCATTCTTTTTTTCTTAAAAAAAAATTATTTATTTATTAATTTATTTATTATGTATACAGTATTCTATCTGTATGTATGCCTACAGGTCAGAAGAGGGCACCAGACCGCATTACAGATGGTTGTGAGACACCATGTGGTTGCTGGGAATTGAACTCAGCACCTTTGGAAGAGCAGGCAATGCTCTTAACCACTGAGCCATCTCTCCAGCCCTCTGCATTCTTTAAACAAATAAACAACAACAACAAAACCAAAGTCATGGGCAGTGCCATTTCATCCAAAGACAGCTGATTCTCTAGATGCACAGACACGAAAGTTCACTCTGCGATTGCATGTGTTCTCTAAGTAATTTGGTACATACACATAGCTAGTTATCCGACACAGACAACAGAGAAATTAGAGCCAGACCAAGTACCTTATAATACGGAGGCCAGTGCTCATTCACAAATACATACCCTGAGAAGTCATTATTATGAAGTCAATCTAGTGCCTGGCACGCACACGTTGAGATATAAAATAATTAATGTGTGCTTAAAATGTTAATTTTTACTTCCAATACTCAACAAAATCATGTTCTCCTGTTAAAGGGTTACTAACAATATGACTTCATAAACACTATAAGAAGTATCTTTAAAAACTAGAATGTTAAGTTGAAAGGCTGACAAAAATCCACATTAAAAGCTATGTCAAGTGGCACATGCCTCTGTCCCCAGTGCTGTGGGTGGGCGGGCTCAAGATAGGTAGATCCCACCGGGTCAGCTGGTCAGCAGTACAGCTACAGTGGTGAGCTCCAGGTTCAATGAGAAACTTGTCTCATGGGGAAAAAAGGTGGTGAGCAATGAAAGACGGCTGAAGTCAACCTCTAGTCACGACACACACAACACAGCCTACCCAACAGCTAAAATTCATGTGAAGACACTGGGAACTGAGGCACAGGAAGTAAACAACTCACTCATGCTCCCAGACAGTTAATGCTAACCAATTAGGCTCTTGACTGGTAAACTATACTGTCTCTCTCATTTATATCAGCAAAACAATTTTTTTTTGCATAATGAGGTAATATAGTTTTCTGAAATTATAGATTAATGCTGAATCAAAGCATATAATTGATTTTCATTAATAATCTTATGTTAAAAAAGTAATTGAAAATTAAAAGGCTATTTCAGAGTTGTGCTGGGCAATGTGAAGGCTGATGTAAGGGAATCTGTGAACTTGAAGACAATCTGGGCCAACAGAGAGAGACCCTGTTTCACAAGGTCCCTGAAGGAACACACCTCTATTGCTGGTGGGAGTGCAAACTTGTACAACTGTTTTGGAAATCAGTATGACGATTTCTCAGAAAACTAGGAAACAATATACCTCAAAAACCAGCAATACCACTTTTGGCCATATACCTAAAGGATGCTCATAAGGACATGTAATAGCCAGAAACAGGAAACAACTTAGATGCTCCTCAACCAAAGAATGGATAAAGAAAATGTGGTACATTTACACAATGAGTACTGCTCAATGGTATAAAATAATGACATTTTGAAATTTGCAGGCAAATGAATGGATCTAGGAAAAAAAACATGTTAAGTGAGGCAACCAGACCCAGAAAGACAAATATAATATGTACTCGCTCATAAAGCAAAGAAAAACCAGCCTACAGTACACACCCCAGAGAACCTAGAAAACAAAGAGGACACTAAGAGAGACATATTATGGATCTACAGAGGAAGGAGAAAAAGATAAGATCTCCTGAATAAACTGGGAGCATGAGGGCCATGGGAGAGTGTATTAGGAGAGGGGGAAGGAAGGAAGGAGTGGACAAAAATGTTTGGTTTAATAAAAACAATAAAAAACAAAACAAAACAAGTCCCTGGGGGGAAAAAAAAAGACAATATCTAAAATACGAGTCAAAGGACACTAAATCACAAGGACACTGCAAGCCAGGTCCTTCCTGGAACGCTTTGCCACTCACGTACCTCTGGGTCATCTGTGTAGTCAAACATTCTGAAGATGACCCTGGGCATCGGGTACACCGAGTCCTCCGTGTGAGGTGGTGGTGTGAAAGGAGGCAGATTGTGCTGTAACGCTTCACAGAGGATGCTGTCAAAGGCAAGGTAGGGTCTTAGGATGTGCCTTTCCTGCCACCGGTCCTTTTTCAATTTCTGAATCTGGGCCCATAGGCAATCTAAATACTAAAAGGAGATTTTAACATTTAATATAAACATTTCGGCTAGACAGTTCAGAAAACATCTTCTCTCTAAAATGCAGGACAAAGTAGACTAATTTAGTATTTCATATAGTAGAAAAGAAGGGCATTAAGTTTTTGTTTTTCCTTAAAATTTTAAAATTAGAGTAGCGTGCACACACTTGCCACATTGTGCACAATGAGGTCAGAGGACAACTTGAAAGGTCTTCCTCTCTGTCACTACGGCTCGAGCTCTAGCTCAGGCTGCTCTACCCATGGAGCGGCTCACTCTCCATTTTCACTCCACAGCTTGTTTCAGAAGCACATTTGGGGCTGTTTACGCTGCTATTTAAAATTGAGTATTTAGATCTAACATGTGTCAAGTCTGTGAAAACTGATATTCTAAAAAGCAAGGGACTATTTCAATAACATTCTAACATACATTAAATACCCCTCTATGCTGAAGACTCCGAGGAAATGAATTCCTCACTGGAAATATTTAGAAACCTAGCTAAGATATACAAATACAATAGTTTGAGCGTTTTAAAAAATCGCGGCTTAATGTATTTGTGTGGCACATGGGCCATAGCGCACGCTCAGAGGTCAGAGGACAACTTGTAGGAATCAGTTTCCTCCTTCTACCTGTGGATCCCAGCAACTGAATTCAGGTTGTCAGGGCTGGTGACTCAGTTGGGCATGCTAAAGAGATAAGCATCACATAAGAGCTGTGTGTCTATCACGAGACGGAAATCAATTCACCTCTTCTTGTGGATGTGGTTTATCAGCAGTCCAAACTTGTAACATGGGCACATGAGTCTTCTGGCGTCTTCTAAAGGTAAAAAGGAAAATCTACACTTAAGCTTTAGAAACATAAAAGACATTCAATGGTTTTCATGATTAGTTAAAGCAATGAAAAACATTTTTATCCATCAGATAGCAACATACTGATAATGGTCTATATGTCATCAAGATAATGTGAAGATTATCATTTGAATAAAATTAAGTATATTCTCTCTTTCACACACACATACGCATGCACATAGACATGGAAAAGTCTTTAGTTGCCATATTTATTTGTACTGAATAAAGCAGTTAAAAATGGTATCCACACAAGTATGACAAGATCAACCTGTGGAAGCTAAAGGAACAAACAGCACTGTCATCATCATGCTATGAAACAATTAGGCATGTTTACTAACAAGACTCATAACTTCATGGTATCTAACAAGATAAAGCAAGTTCTTATGTTGTCACGGAGAAGGGTTTGGTTTAGGATTAATGTATATGAAATAAACCTTCGTACAAGGGCAGTGCTTCTCCTCATAACACATTAGTGATCACATGTCTGAACCTCTTCCAGTCATTCCACAGCCTGGGCAGAAGTGTGATTCTAAGTAGTCCAGGTGACCTTTAAGCATGTGCACACTAGGACACTAATGGAGATTTCCACCATGGTGTTGTCTTTCACAACCATATGTGAAACAATACCGACACGATACCAACTTCTTACACTAGCAAGTACTGAGAGTTATGTGAGTTATGGCAGCAGGAGAATGACATTTAATACAGAAAATTTTCAGGAACTGAACTGGTGTCACTGCTAACAGAGAACTTAAGACATTAATTATACCAGCATGATACCTTTACACAAACAACAAAGAACATGTGAACTATGTGCCCTTACTTAAGATAACTTTCAGTGTTGGAGAAGATGCGGTCCATTTCTGCATCTTTCTTTTCGTACAACTCTTTTCCAACCCAGGGCAAAGACGACAGAAACGCATACACATACCAATCCTTTCGCACCTAAAGAAAGTTTAAAAAGGAAAGTTAAAAAAGAATGCTGGTTAATTTTATTCATTCATTCACTATTCTTTCTTTCCAGTGTTAGGGATCAAACTCAACGGCTAACAGATGCTAGGCAATCATTCTGCAACTGAGCTAGACAACTCCCCAGCTCCATATTGTTTTATTCAAAAACGTGATCCTGGGGAGACTTTTTAATAGGGCTCAAATAAAATATCTGTCTCGTCTAGAGGATTTCTAGTTATATAGTTATAATCTTTTAAAATCATTTGAATTAACACAATGATGTTAAGAGAATCCACTAGTAAGCCAGTGAACTTGCCCTTCAGATATTAAGCATTATAGTGTGATAACCTGTTTATTGCTGCTAAAGAGTTATCAGTGGGGTGGGGGAATCTGGTACAGCGCTTCATGGAAGAGATTCAACATAAAAATGTCTTACTTGAGGCACATCTTCTTCCTGAGTCACACTTACAAAATTCTCAAACATAGCAACCATAGATGGGGCAGCAATCACATGACAATTCACAAGATCAGACAGAAAACGGACCTGTAAGGACAAAGGATAGCTGTATTACACCTAACAGTCCTTCAGATAGCCACAGAATAAACAACCTTATGATGTCTGTGAAACTAAAGCCCATGGCTACATTTAGCTTACTTTTTGTCTGCACAACCTAAGAGCCAAGAAGTCTCTAATCCTTAAAACAAAACTCACACAAAATGACATGAATTCAAATTTCAGTGTCCATTATAACCATACTTGCAGAAGTTCACACTCATTCAGTTACTTATTGACCACAGTAGCTTTTGTGGTACAGTGAGTGGCAAAGTTGGGTAGTGTGACAAAGATCTTATGTTGGATAGGAATCTGTGGTTTTGTGGGTTTCCATGCTATGCTACATTAGGTACTCAGACAGCCAAATATTCTAGATACTCCATTTTACTGAAGTAGGCTGGTCTTTTTGTCTGGCTAGGGATAATATTCACTACTAAAATATAGAAATGGAAATTTTAAGTAAAAGAGCTATTTACTGGGTGTCCTCTCTGGGCCAGGGTCAAATAAACACTATCCAAGATACCATTTAAGGGAACTTAATAGCTTATTTGGGAAAAACATAATCTCAACAAAAAAAGATGACTCCTGTACCAAAAGGTAAATTAAAAAAGTATCCTTGGAGCTGGGTGGTGGTGGCACACACCTTTAATCCCAGCACTCTGGAGACAGAGGCAGGCGGATCTCTGAGAGTTCGAGGCCAGCCTGGTCTACAAGAGCTAGTCCCAGGACAGGGTCCAAGGCTACACAGAAAAAAAACAAAAACAAAAGCAAAACAGAACCAACCATGCCCTTGGGACCAATGACAAGGGGAAAAGGATAAGGTTATAAAGGGTGAGCAAAGCCCTCAGTGGGGAGTGGGAGGGCATTCTTGGCAGAGGGTTGTGCAAGTAATTTTATATACCTGGAAGGTACACAGAGGACAAGAGAAGGCAACCATACTGGGGCAAACATGAAACTTAATTCCATTTCGTTCTATTCAAGATACATAAAAGTTCTGTGTTGCAGAAAGAACCTAAGAACCAGAGGTTGGGGAGGAGTCTCATTCAAGACACATAAAAGTTCTGTGTTGCAGAAAGAACCTAAGAACCAGAGGTTGGGGAGGAGTCTCTAGAAGGAACATGGCCACACCACTCACAACCTCAGAGTAGCTATACAAAACCTACACAAGACTAGGCAGGTCAACATTCCTTCATGGACAGGGGTGGAGCTCATGAGGCCCCACCCCTTCCTGAGGAGCTGTGGTAGCTAACAGTTTCTGAGGAAGAAGGTGTTTTCCTCAGCTGTGTAGCCATTAGTAAGGTGCCCATACTCCAGTAAATAACCACCTACACTTGTATGTAAGCAACTCTAAATTAAACATGTGAGTCACACATGTATAAAAAGACATCAAAGTAGAAAAAGAACTAGAAAGGGTACAGAAAGAGGAGGTGGAGAAAAGAGATAATGGGGGACCAATGTGACCAGAATATGTTAAATACATATATGAAACTGTATTAAAAAAAATAAAAGGTTCTAATGTTCACTCCCTGCAGCCCAATGAATCATTTTATGTATCAGAATTTTAAGACCACCTACTATAAAAAAACAGGAAGGGAGTGAAGGAGCAGAGCCTACTTACACAAAGGCCACTTTGGTGCTATTACTATGGATAGATTCAACGGCAGAGACTTCCGATGGACAAATTTCAAGTAAGGAAGCAGCTAAGAACACAAAAAGTTCCAAGCTGTGCTAGATAGAGGCCATGGGACAAAGAAGGGAGTCTAGGAGAGGAATGAGAGGGAATGGAGACAGAAAGGAGGCACAGAAAAGCTAACAATCAATGGAAGATTTCTGGATGTCTTATCCAGCGGCACATGAATTTTGGGACTTGCAAAGACAAGTCTCTGGGCTCTATTTGGGATACTGGTTTAGAACTCAGGAAAAAGGTTGAGGTGGGAGACGGTTATAAATTTGGGGTCCCCATCAAAATAAAGTTGGCTTATACAGCTATTAGAGTGAATGACACTGATTCAGAAGAGAAGCTTAAATAAAAGACAGAATCATTGTAAAAGAAATTTAAGGGGCTGGAGAGATGGCTCAGAGGTTAAGAGCACTGGCTACTCTGTCCTGAGTCCAATTCCCAGCAACCACACAATGGTGTCTCACAACCATCTATGATTGAATCTGGTGCCCTCTTCTGGTGAGCAGGCATACATGCAGGCAGAATGCTGTATACATAATAATAATAACAACAACAATAATAATACTGTCAACTCCAGATCATGTAAGGTTCTGGCAATTAAAAAAAAAACACATTTAAGGAATAAAAGATGACAACCCAGCAAAAGAGAGACAAGAATCAAAGACAGGAGCAATGTTGATGCTATTATTATTATTATTATTAGCAGGTTTACAAAGAGTTGTGCTGTAGAAACCAAGATATAAGAAAATAAGGAATCATATGCTACAAGGAAAAGGACCAGGACTCAAAGTAAACACAAACGACCACATTGAGTAGTAAGCGACAATGGCTCCCAAAGAACGGCTACGAGATGAGCAAGGACCAGAATTCATGATAAGATAGTTAATTGGCTGTAGCTTGTTTCCTCCACTTTAACACTAACTTATAGCACACACACACACACACACACATACTTACCAAATAGACAGCTTCGTTATAGTTATTTGCTTTTAGTGATTCTTTCAGTTGGCGAATCATGGCTTCTACAAATTCTCCACCAAAGTTGTAATTTCTGGCATTCAGCAGTCCAACTAACGTTGTATAAATTGTCAGCTTCTCAGGTAACAGGCGTGCACTGATTTGAGAACCCATACAAGACAATCCCAAAACAAAGGTTTTATGTTAAGCTGTTGAATTGTACATGACATTTTAAACATCAAATGGCCTTGGAACAAAATTACTTTTAACTGTGTTTTGAAAACGATTTCAGAAATGACATATGTGTTACTGAAAAAGTATGCAGATATAGACCCCAATATTTTTCACTGTAGTTAATTCAAGAGTTAAGTTACTTGTGAAGTTATCACACCAAAATTAACACAACTAATGTTAGACCAGTTTTTCTTCAAATGTATTGAGTGGAAATAACAATTCAACAGAAAATGGTTTCCATGGTAATGTGAAACAGATTCTTTAATGCAGAATCATTAAGGGGAACAGAGTACTGGGCATTTCTAAACTTGGCTAACCAAGTACCATGGGACCAGAGTTCCACTTGAAGAAACATTATTGGATTGCTTATAAAAGATAAAGAATTAAAATCAGCTTCAACCAAGTTCTTATAAGAAATGCTTAACAGGGTATGCTAATATAGTTGAGACAACGCTGAGGATAGCTAGATGGCTCAGCGGGTTGAGGCTCTTGCCAACCTGAGTTCAACCCCAGGGTCCACACGGCAGAAGGAGAGAACTGATTCTTCTGCATGTTGCCTGACCACCACGTATTAAGGCACATGTGCACCCACATGTGTGTGCACACAAAATAAATAACTTAAAGGGATAGTAAAGGTAAGCCTAAAAGAAGTCAACAACACTTCCTACGAAAAGGAAACAGTACTAATGACAATTCTGTGGAGAATTCGTTCATACTGTTCCCCTCAGGTACAATGCTGACTGAGTACAGGGCAGGACTTAGGACCTCAAAAAAAATACATGTATTGAAAATAAACCTAGTCCCTAAGGCTTTCTCTAAGTAAAATTAAAAAAAAAAGAATTGAAAGGACACTGTCAATCAATACCAGCCCAGCCTTACATAAACAAGATGACTTCCAACAGTTTCAATAGCATAACAATTCCGTAATACATACTATCAGAACAGCGGGCATCATATGGGTAACCATAATAATATAATTGTTTTCATTGTTTCTTAGTCTAGAAAAACATTTTCCTGAATTGATTGGATTTCTTTGAAAACTGAAAACAAAATTTAACTACGGGTCTGGAGAACTCAGCAGTTGAGATCTTGTTCTTGCAGAGGACTCAAGTTGGATTCCTAGCAACTACCCATACCTCCAATTCTACGGTACCTAACACCCTCTTCTGACCTCCACAGTCACAGATGTTCAAAACATTCATACACAAGAAATAATGTTTTTTAAAAAATTAACTATTAGAAGTTTCTGCTTTGTATGCATATTTTTAAATTAAAAATGAACTGCAAACAGGTAACAATTATTTTGAAATGACTGAAATGGTAACTGTAGCATCAAGGACACTTATGTCCTCAAAAAGATTCAAAAGCATCTTCAGTCTTCAAGGAAGGCCACTCACTTGATTTACAAGTTGTCCAATATATTTGGGTCTACTGATAAAAAAAGGAAAAATAAATAAATAAATAAAACCAACTCAATTCTACTTTAAACACACAGATGTGCATTCCTTGGTGGGGGAAAGGGCTCTAACTGAAAAAGAAAGACATCTACTTTCTCATATATTTTCTGGTTAAAAAATTAACTCAAATGATTTTTAAATTCTAAGAAAGAAAACATACGGAAAATACTTCATTTTAGTTCTGTTTAATCACTTAAAAAATAAGTTAAAAAAATAAGTTCAGCAAAGGGTCAAACAAAAATGAGCATTTCATGAGATGAGTTTCAGGACATAGGGAGGCCCGAGACATGCAACGTAAGCACATCCTCTGCACATCCCCCAAAGCATGTAAGAGTAGATAATACATCATCACCTGGATCCAAAAATCTTTTACATACATACACTGTACAAAGAAGCCTTAAGATCTTGCTCTTGTAGTTAGGAAGATCAGCTTCCAGAACACCAGCCAAGCCTTCTAGATTGCTCTCCAAAGAGCAGGCACTCTGCAGAGGACATATGTTAATTATCTGTTAGCATTCAAAGCAATCAGTGAACTAAAGTTAAAATTCCTGGAATACCATGAAAACACTAAGGTCTTCCTAAGAACTAAAGACAATTTTGTGAAGAAGTCTCTTAGCATCAGTCAATTCTAGTAGTTATTGTTCATTAGAAACACATTCTACGTAAAAAGAGCCAACAAAATCTTCAGAATAGTCTAACATCTGTCACTAGCAACCCACTACTGTCTTGGGCATCCAAGTCATCACATTGAGGACTATCCCTAGGTCTATTTTAAGGTTTGTCTAATAAAAATAACTTACTGAAAAACCTTAACAATCTGAATCCTAGGAGTTCCAAAACACATTCACATTGGGATACAGATGTGCAGTAATAAATCAAGCTTTGTCCATAACTTATATTACCCAGTACAACTTCAGAAATTAATCAAAGCTGTTAATCACAACCCTAACCCCTGGGCTTGGTGCATACCTTTTCCCCTACTTTGCATATTAAAGACTCCAAATGATCTTCAGTTTCATTTGCATCAGAGGTCTTCCTCCTTTTGTGAGGCTGCCCACCTAGTTCAGCAACATTAAAAAAAGTTTTAAAAAAATTAAAAAAGCTATATATGATGTTAAATAATGAATCACTATAAATATCTTGTCACCTTAGGCTTTAATCACTTTTCTATCAGGCCGTATTTTTAAGAGTAGCTCTAACCAATAGTGTTCTAACTAGGCTAGGTACCTGGACAATCTCTATCCCGCATTCTTTTGTGTGCCTGTGCGTACGTGAGAGGATGTACACTCACATAAAGCCAGGAGAGGGTGCTGGGTGTCCTCCACCATGCTAGTCCTTCAAGGCAAGGTCTTTCCCGAACCTAGGGGCTCACTCTTCTAAATAGCTAGACTGATAGCCAGCAAGTCCTAGTGATCCTCCTGTCTCCACTCTCCCTTGAAGCTGGGGTTAAAGGCATATACTGCAAGGCTAGCTTCCAAGAGTGCTGATACCCAAATTCCAGGTCTTATAATTGTGTAGTAAATGCTTTCAATGGTTGAGCCAACCCTCCAGAACCCCCCATCTCTCTATATATAAATTTTTAAAATTTTTTATTATTTTATATGTACAGATGTTTGGGCTACATGTATAACTATGTACCACTTATATGTCTGGAGCCTGTGGAGGCCAGAAGAGGGCATCATAGCCCTGTAACTGGAGTTATGGACTTCTGTGAGATACACTGTGAGTGCTAGGAACTGAACCCAGGTTCTCGAGACGTACAGGCAGTACTCTTAACTGCTGAGCTATCTTTCCAAGGCCTCACATCATCTCTATTACCGAGGTCACTATAAACAATACTGTCAGGAGGCATTTTTTTTTTCAGTTAAATTTTGTATAAACAGTGTCCAGGCAGCTATGTCCATTTCTGTGGATACACTGGGATGGCACCAACATCTAAACACCTGAAGTCTGAAGACTGCTGCTCCTGTTCTTTTAACTTGCTTACTGACCCTTATTGTTGGTTCCTCAACCCGACAGTGTCAATAGTACTTGTTAATTTGATGACGTAACTAAATTGCTGCATAACCTGATGAAGTAAGGATGCAAAAACTAGTTGAATCTTTGGAGATTTATTTAAGCTATGACCCTAAACATTAACAGTGCTGATGCCAAGAAACAGCCTCAGAATGCACAATGCAGCCGTGCTCTTATTATTATTCAGAACCAGATTTTAGATGAGGTTCAGAGAATACAAAGCCAAACACTAGATGAATGAGAGCAGCTAAACCTTACTAAACTCTTTCCTTCCTTCTGGCCCATCTATTATACCAATCCGTTATCACACCCCAAATCCCTCCTGATTATACAGTTAACTTGTTCCAGTTTGCAACCATTTCTGTCTTCAAAACAACCCTTCCAGGTCCTCTTGTAAGCCTTTTTTATGTCAACTTGACACAGCCTAGTCATTTGAGAGGAGGGAGCCCCAATCGAGAAAACGCCTCTACAAGACTGGGCTGTAGACAAGCTGCAGAGCATTTCCTTAATTAGTGACTGATGGAGGAGAACCCACCCATTGCAGGTGGAGCCATCCCTGAACTGGTTGGTAGTCCTGGGTTTTACAAGAAAGCAGGCCGAGCAAGATATGGTGGAGCACGCCTTTAATACTAACACTATCAGGAGAGAGGGAGGTGGGAGGTGGATCTCTTGAGTTTGGAATCAGCTTGTCTTAGTGAGTTCTAGGAGAGCTAGGGCTATGTAGAGACACCACCTCAAGAGAAAAAAAAAAAGTGAAGACAACACAAAGAAGAAAGCAGGCTGAGCAAACCATGGGGAGTAAGCTAGTAGGCAGCAATCCTCCATGGCCTCTGCACCAGCTCCTACCCCCAGATTCCTGCCCTAACTTCTCTCAATGATGGAAGTATATACTTGGAAGCATAAGCTGAAATAAACCTTTTCTTCCCCAAGTTGTTTCAATCATGGCATTTCATCACCCTAACTAGATAAAAAGAAGCCAGTACAGCCATGCAGTACTCCCCGCCCCACACACCCCCTAAACTCAGTACTCCGGGGAGTAGAGACATGAGGATAGTTGGGGCTCACTAGCCAGCCACAGTGGTGAGTTGCAGCTTCAGCCTAGTAAGGCAGAGGGTGATAGAGGAGGGCACCCAATGGCCTCTACATGGCACACACACCACGTGCACATATACAACACCCATACTGTTTGGAAAGGGGCAAGGTGCCTGCTGAGCAACCATGAGAATCACACCTGTCTGTAACCTGAAGGGGCAGAGAGCATGCAGAGGGGCAGATCCCTGGAGCTCCTTGATCAACGACCCTGGTCACATCCATGAGGAAAAAAAAATCAGCTGGAGTAAGAAAAGGGCAGGTAGATACTTTGGAGGTCAAATCTCAGACATCAGGTATTTACAGTTCATAACAGTAGCAAAATTAGTCATGAAGTAGCAACAAAATAATTTTACGGTTGGGGTTACCACATGAGGAGTTGTATGAAGGGTCACAGCATTAGAAAAGTTGAGAATCACTATCTTAGACACTCTAAAGAGAAAACTTAAAACACTCTTTGGGGAATGAGTTGAACATTTTCATACCCTGAACAACGAATAAGAAACAAGTCTATGGTGGCACTATAGTCCAAAACAGGCTTTAAAACATGGCCAGGTAAGTTTCACAATAGATTTGTTAAAATTACATGTTGCTTTACACACTAGCTAGTGCAGCAAAGAGACCTTTGCTAACGACCATCCAAGGGCTCTTAAAACAACAAAAAACACCCTGGCATGATGGTGCACACCTTTAATCCTGGCACTCTGGCGGCAGAGGCAGGCAGATCTGAGTTTGAAGCCAACCTGGTACACACAGTCAGTTTCAGGACACACAGGGCCACCAAATGGTGGTGGAGGAAGTGACAACAGAACAAACAAGCAAGACACTAAATAATGTTCCCACTGCAACGTGAACCTAATGTTACACAGATACACGGTACTATTTCCTATACCCTTATTAGGATCAGATGTGTTTGGATCCACAAAGTAGACAAAAAAACAACACCATAAATAAAAGAAAAAAGTAACAAAACCCAGCCAAGAAAAGTAATATACTTTGACTACAGATATAAAACAAAAATTTAATTGATTAAAAATATCACCACTGAGAGGGAAGTGGGAGGAGGAAGTGGAAATTTTGATTCCTATTATTTATAAAGTAATAAAAAATTATCAGAGGAAAAAAAAGAAATGTACTTCAAGATGGCCTTAATCACTGCCCACCGCCCTCCAACCCATGCAGCACCCAAATTTGAGTTGTAGAGCTCCAAAGACAAAACCGGAAAGTAACTAAGAATTACTGTGTTGTTTTCACTCTGAGTGGTCCACACTACAGGGTCTGAGCAGATATGCTTCTTTTTGTCATCGTATTATTGAATACAAGGTAATGTTTCTATTGCTTAAAAAAAAATCACCGCTGAAACAAAGTATACTATCCCTCAGCATAACAAGCCTTTCACTTCTCTTCAGTTTTTCTTTCTACAGTTAAATTTAAAAACATCAATCACTAAAAGATAAAGACCTAAGTGGAAGAAGTAGATTAAACAGGTTTTCTGGACTTTTGACTAAGATTTTGAACCACCTAAATTCCTTTTTAACGATAAAACAGTAGACTTAACACTGATAAAATTTATTTTCAACAGTAATTGAAGAGGTTCAGAGACATTTTAAAGGAATCGATGACTGCCAGACATAGTGGTCCACATCTTGGGGGAACATAGGGGCAGCTAACCTAGGCTACAACCAGGACATGATAGTTCCAGTCTGGACTACGTACTTCCAGACAGTAGGACTACAGGGCAGTCACATAGAGCCTGTCTTAAGTGTCTAAGACTACGACAGATTTGGTACTTTCCATTTAGGATAGCCCTTTCTGTGTCTCTAAATAAACTACAGGAACTTTATCTGATACTACCTCTGTGGCTCTCCAGTAGTATATTGTCCTAGCAGAAATGTTTAAAATGGCCCAGTAAGGTAAGAAAGAGCCTCATCTAAATTCTCTGCTCTTACCTCTCTTAACTTCTACCAACAACGACCTCCTTGCTCTTCTCTGAACATGACAGAAATCTCTAACCTGAGCGCTACCCTCATGGTTTCCTTTCGACCTCTGCTTTCTCAAGCATCCATATGGCTTGTTCCTTACATCACTCATGTCACAGCCCATCTGCAGGGAGGCCTTACCTGACCAGTCTCTCTCTGTGGTCCCTGTACCCTTTACCTCACTTTGTTCTCCACAATCCTGTGATCGTAGGATGAATTACACTACACTTCATTGATACATGGGAGGGAGCCTCCACTGTTATACCGTCTGCTACTGTACTGTAAGTAATTAGGAAATTGTTCAGTAAGTCCATGAGGTTCCAACTCAGACACCGAAACTTGAGGATACTCATGTCCCTTCTATAAAGTGCTGCTATTTGCTCATGATCTATGAATATTGTGATACTTTACATTATCTCTATACTACCTAATATAAGTGTTATGTGAGTAGTTGTGATAGTGTATCATTTAAGGAATGGGAGGGGGGTGACTATACATTATACATTCAGTACTGAGGCCTTTTCCTTCAAATATTTTGTAACCAGATTGCTAAATTCAAGGAGAGAGAATAAAGATGCAGATGCCACTGCTCCACAGTCCAATATAGGGAAAGTCAGAGTAGAGCTGACAATAACCCAGAAATACTCAGATCTATTTGATGCCTTTAAAATCTTAAGCCACCTTTATAACAGCCATCCGAATTTTTTAAAATTGTAGATACTTCACTAAAGAGCACCACATTTTTTTATTTAGAACACTAAACTGTTTATCAAACTCTAACAAATGTTTCCAAATGTGTACTACTGGAGAAACTGCAAACAGCCTTTCCACTACTCAGTGACTTGCTAGAGTGAATTTTGATTAAGAGATGCTTAATTTTACATCACTTTGTCCTATTTATTATAAGGCTTCTGTAGTCAGACCACTCTGGGAAAATGATGTAGCTGCTAGCTGGGGTAAAAAAAAAAAAGCCAATTATAACCACAAAGTTATGCAAGCCTCCCAAACCAAAACAAAAGAGGATTTCTATATATTTATATTCTAATTCTCCAGTTGGTTCTCCAGTGACCTTTCCCCCTCACTTCAGAGGTAGCCTGGAAGTGAGAGAAGGAATGGAGAAAAGAAGTGTAAAGTGAGGAGAGAGAAGGGGAAGAGCGAGACAAGGCCAAGGACAAATTCTCTCATCCAAAGCTAATTAGTACACTAATCAAATGCACAGCAAAGAAAACCTGTGTTCTGTACATTAATCACACAAGAGACCACCATGTTAAAAAAAAAAAAAAACACAAAAACCCAAGCACAGAGGGTAGCTATGCTGACCGATGTGGCAGAGCTGAATTGCACTGGTGCATCTGGGCACTGACAGCCTAGACTATTCTCTCAGGTACCCCTTAGCAGAAATCTGGGGCTTCACTGTTAAAAATTCTACTTACAATGTGTAATTCTACTTGATGGTCTTAACATTCCAAGAGAGAAAGCTAATCCAATTGCATTGCTTCGGTTTTCTTATGGTGTTGGGATTTATCTGTGTATATTACCTCTGAGACAGTAACAGTTGATAAGATAAACACAACGAGCTATTGATGAGCACAGTATCTCAGAAAAGGCTTAATATTACTCCACATTATAAACTCAGGTTTAAGGAAGTCATGTGACTCTGGCAAGATCACATAGTAAATAGCAGCTGTCGAGTTTTGAACCTAAACCCTTAGGTTCTAAAACAAGCTCTGCGGACCAGGATGGCCTTGAACTCACAGAGAACCACCTGCCTCAGCCTCCCGAGTGCTGGGATTAAAGGCGCGCACCACCACCCGGCTCCAGAGTATTTTAAAAAATATCAACAGCTCCAAGTTTCATTCTGGTGTGTGCCTGTGTCCTTGAAGGGCAGTAATGGTACAGACACTTGAGCTTGTTTTTTTATGGTGGCAACACAACGACCTCCTTGCTGGCGACTATCAAAGCCGACGTGAGACTTACTGGTCTACTCAGGGTAGTTTTCCTGCACTTTCTTAAACAGAGGAACATGATTAAGGCCAATCCAACGGAACAGCACGTGTCTGTTTCTTGGGGTGTTGGGAAGACACAAAATTCTTTCCTTGACGTTTAGAACAGGGAAATCAAGGTGGCTGGTGGAGGAGTGGGGCTCAGATTGCAATTCAGCCGACCTCTGTCACAGCTTTGTTCTTTTCTTGTCTTCCCAGGGTCCCTTCCAGGTGCACCCGGGAGGGTTAAAACGGAAACACTGGTCCACTACATCCCCGTCACTAACTGATCCTAAGGGACAGCCCCAGACACACGTGCATTTCCAAGCTCAGCAGTGAATGGTCAAGTCTTACGTGTCGGCGGACACCAGGTCGGGTCTGCCCACGGGGCTCACCAGGCCTTCCTTCCCCAAGACCCGAAGGAGCTGGGGCAGCGGGGAGGCCGTCATTTTCCCGAAGCCACTAGCCACACCCGAGCCGCGCCAGCCACCTCCTTCCCGGGCTCCCAGAACCCTTCCCGGGGAGAAAGGGCTGCCTATCTGTTCCCTAGAGACCCGAGGATCAAAGCAGCCTGGCCTCAGTTCTCAGCCCCCCGCGGCGGCCAGGCTGAGGGCACTTACCATCGTTCTCGTAACTATGCCGCCTCCGCGACATGCTGCTGCTCGCGGGTGCGCAGCCGAGCTGAGCTGCAAGTCGCCTGCAACCCCAGAACCGTCGGGCCGCTGCCGGCCGGCCGGTGCGCGGTCAGCGGCGAGGCGCGCGGAGTGTCCGGCGCGCAAGCGCACTCGCTCACAACGCCTGCCGGAAGAGCAAGCGGAGAGGTACCACCAGGTGGGCTCTGCGGCGAAAGGCCGGCGTCTGCAGGTCCACGCGCGGCCGCCTCCTCCCGCCTTCCACGCTGGGGCCTTCCCGAGGGCGAGCTAAATTATCCCGGCTGGGGCAATCCCGCCTCAGCTTTGCAGCGGCCCGGCGTTGTTTTCCCGGCGGCCCCTGCGCCGACGGCTTTGGAGACTTCCGGAGCGAGGTGACGTTTTCCCAGGGACTTTCTGCGCACGCGCGCGTCGGGGGCGTGGACTCGAGGGAGGGAAGCCGCGCCAAGTTGGTGAAGGAAGACCCAGGAAAGGCCTAAGACCGGCGGGTAAGTGTTCTCACTCTCGCCGCCCGGCCGTAGCTGCCTCGGGAGACGTGGGCGGTCAGGAGGGCAAACCGCTCCCCAGCGGTAAGGAAGCCAGGACGCCCGGCCGAGCCGGCTCCTGGTCGTCTTCCCGCCCACTTCTCCCAGCTGACGGATGAGGACGGTGCAGAGCGATCTGGTTCCAGTTGTTCTTCTGTCACTCCGCACGTGTACAGTATGTGGGTGTCCTCTGCCCTGATGTCTTTGGTGGGCACCAAACTGCCTTGCCCACGTCCTTGTCTGGCCTAAACTCTTCCTTCAGTCTTACTGGTTTCAGTAAAAGGACGTTTCTGTCGTTTGCTTAATCCATGAATTTAGGGAAGAGTCATTGGATCCTTCACTTCCTGTGTAACCCTTTATGCACAGACACTGCCCGCTGTACTTTGAGAGCAAGTCCGTTAATCAAACTTATTGACTACTATGCTTAAAACTCTTCACGGACTTTAAAAATAGGAATGTTTTGTGTCTTTGTACCTGGGTGCGCAGGAGCCTATGGAGACCAGAAGAGGGCATCAGATCTCCTGGAATTGGAAGTTTCAGACACTTGTGAGATGCCATGTGGATGCTGGGTGCTGATGAGGAGGGGGGGCGAAATCACGGGTCCTCTGCGAGAGTAGTAATCGTTCTTAACCACTGAGCCATCTTTCCGGCCTTACTTTTTTCTATTAAAAAGATACCTTTTATCTGTTCATTCATATGTGTCAACAATCCATCTTCATCATATGCCCGCCAACTCTCCGGAAATTTTTATTGCAAACTCCAAACTAAGGCTTCTTGGGTTCTATCCCCATCGGTGTGTGTGAACCACTACGTTCTTCTGATAAGTCCAGCTTGTTCATAGTTTAGGAATCAAGGCTTATTGTTTCCTTTATGTGATGCTCTCTGCTCAGAAATCTACGTGGCTGACCAGCAGGTGCCTACAGAGTTATTTCTCTGACTTTCCAACTTTCTCACGCTTCATTTCATTCAACAAGTACTATGTTGTGTTAGGTAGCTTTTGTCACCTTCTGTACACAAGGCAGTGTGCGGGCTACTGAATCTACAGGTGAACAGAAGGAAGCCTCATCTCTTTGAGAGCTGAAGTCCTCTAAACGACCCTTTCAGGAATGACCACAGGCACTGTAGTCTGACATACAAGTTGGGTTCAGAGAGGCAGGTACAGATTGTCTGAGTAGATTGAGCCTTTGGAAAAGTCCTCCAAGAAGATAGTAAAGCACCAGTAATTCAGGCAAGAAATGCTGGGGCCTTGCACTGGGCTGCTGGTGAATGCAGTTCAAATCGGATTGCTAACTTTAAAAGGAGGGCGAAGCTTAGGGTCTGTTATGGTGGTACAGTGTTCTGGATAGTAGAGGCAAGGGGAGTCTCAAATTCAAGATTACTAGGGGTTCAAAGCCAGTCTGTTCTACACAGCAAGACGTGGTCTCATAAAAAATAATTTTAAAAATTAGGTGCTGGCAAGATGGCTCAGCAGGTAAGCAAGCACCTGCTGTTGAAGCCTGATGACATGAGTTTGGTCCTGGAGCCTGTGTAAATGTGGAAGGAGAGAACTGATCCTGAAGTTGTCCCCTCTTCTCCACATCCATGTGTGGCAATTGTCCCGGCACAAGTAGACACAAAGTAAATAAAATGTAACTAAAAAGAAAACAGTTCATTGGTTATAGTGTATCTATTTCAGTAAGATTTGTCCGCAGTGGCAACTTTGAAATTTTGGCTCTGAGATTTGAGAACAAAAGAAACAAACTGGTGTTGGTTGATTTTGGATGTACATAGTACTGTCCTAGTCACCCTGTGATTTTTACGTGGTTAGCTTCCTAATTCATGTTTCTTTGACATTCTATAGCCTCAGAAAGCCCTTCCTTCTCCTCTGTGTATAAAAAGACCTTTTACCTGCCTCCTTACTCTTATTTTTCTTTAAAATATTAAATTTAAACCCTGACTTTTTAAAAAAACAATGTATTGGCTTATCTTTCCCACTAGGTTGTGAACTTAAGAAGACAGACTTTTTCCTGTTGCATTTACTGCTCTATTCCCAGTGCGTAGAAGGGAGCTTGGCCAAGAATAGTTGTCACAAAAATACTATTGAGTGAGCAAGTAAATGAATGGCAGCTTGGGTTATGCATCCACTGCTAATTCGTATGATTAATTAGCTTCATGTTTGCTTCAACAAGTACTCAAAGAGCTGAGCGTTGCATTTTCTCTCTTATGTCTCAGAAGATACTCGACTGAAAGGAACCTGCCCCACTGATCAATCCAGATGCCTTCTTCCACTTCACCAGATGAAGAAGATAGCCTGCAGACCTGTGTTTTAAAGTTTGCTGACCTGGACTTAAAAGAATCAAATCTTATTAGCCCCAGCAGCAGTCTCAAAGCAGAGTTAGATGGCAATCTAAAGAAGAAATACTCATTTGCAAAGAAAAAGGTAAAATTGCTGTCAGTGTGTTCATGATCATGTATATAAGGTTAGTTTCCTCACTTGGCTGTAGAAAGAATTCCAGGAACTCAAAACTGTCCTGTAAGAAGGACAGGTATTAGGGCAGCTGGCATCTGGTGAGGTTGTTGCTGAACGCTGCTGCTGTCAGGGAAAGAGTTTGGTCTCATCTTGCTAGCTCAGTGCTTTGAAGAAAGGCCAGCCTCACGGGATGCTGCCGGGCTACTAAGAATACTGTGACTAGCCTATGAAGAGGTGGTATTGATGCCCTTCGTCAGCTATGTATCTTATTGTTGTTGAAACCACCTTTTCTTAAAAGCGGGGAACTGGAGGCTCATTGTTAGGAAACTGGCTGGTTAAGGAAGTATAGCTGAGAGCTGACTTTCTCACCTTCAGCCTGTAGTTCTCTTCGGGAGCCTCTTTTTGTCTCTATGTCAGTGAAGAATAAATACCTCTCTAATTTCCCAGCTGCCACCTTCAGACAGTCTTTTTTGTTTTTGTTTTTATTTTTCGAGACAGGGTTTCTCTATAGCCTTGGAGCCTGTCCTAGAACTAGCTCTTGTAGACCAGGTTGGCCTGGTACTCACAGAGATTTGCCCGCCTCTGCCTCCCGAGTGCTAGGATTAAAGGCGTGAGCCACCACTGCCCAGCTCTTCAGTCAGTCTTATAATCAGACGTGTCCTGTTCCTGTCCTGACTGCCTGGTCTCAAATAACCAACACAGAGGCTTAATATGACTTATAAATGCCTGGTCCGTAGCTCAGGCTTATTACTAGCTAAGTCTTACCCTTAAATTAACCCATAATTCCTATCTCTGTTTAGCTACATGGCTTGTTACCTTTTCTCAGTACATTCTCATCTTGCTTCTCTGCCTTTGCAGGCAACTCTCTGACTCCATCCTTCCTCTTCCCAGAATTCTCCCAGTCTGGAATCTCTTCCTGCCCAGCTACTGGCTAGTCAGTTTTTTATTAACAATGAACATAATCCACAGCATAGTCTTATAAAGATTTCCTTGAAAATGAAATTCAGAGGTTACAGAGGTCCTTTACCAGTATTATTTATTTTTATTTTATTTTTTTTGGTTTTTCGAGACAGGGTTTCTTTGTGGCTTTGGAGCCTGTCCTGGAACTAGCTCTGTAGACCAGGCTGGTCTCGAACTCACAGAGATCCGCCTGCCTCTGCCTCCCGAGTGCTGGGTACCAGTATTATTTTGCAATAATTTCAAACTTAGAGAAATGTGAGAAGGATTTTATAAATAACGCACATGCTGGCCTTGTCCAAAGGCTCTGCTGATACTCACCATTCATCTCAATACAGGAGGCTCACCTGGTTCCACAGAAACTAAGCTGGTTACAGCACCCACTCCCTGGGTTTGGTTGCCAGGGGCACGGGGTTACAGGCACACAATACCATATTTCGCTTGGTCTTTAAACTAGAACACTAAATTTTTCTCACAAGTCATAGCCATGACGTTCTTGAAAATTATAAATAAGAGTTGTTTTGTAGATGGATTCAGTTTGGCTTTGACTCATATTTCCTTCCATGAGATTTAGAGTTTGCTTTCTTTCGGAAGATTGTCTGTCTTGGAAGAAAATCCATGTTCATGTCGCACGTTCTCCCAGGTGCTCCACAGTGCTGAAGCTCCGTTACCAACTCTGTTCATTTCATTTGGATAGTAGAGGGAACTGTCTGCTAGGTCTCCCATTTCATTCGCCAGTGGTTGGAAAGGAAACCACAGTGCTAACAGTGCCATCTCCTTTTCTTCTGGCCTGCCATGAAAGATCAGCTCTAAGAAACACTAAAAAAGCCCCACCCTGCAGACGGCAGACCCAGTCTACCCAAGGTGAGGGAGGTCCATGAGTGATGTGCTTCACCGCTGACACAGCCCCGTGGCCCATGTAGACGGAGGCGGGGAGGCGGGGAGAGAGAATTGATGCCATAGAGTTGTTCTCTGGCTTTCAAGTGTGCACCATAGCTTGTGCCCCTCCCCGCAATTATAAAGTCTAAATTTTTTTTCAAAAGGAAAATAGGTAATACATATAAACTAACAAGTCAGGAAAAGTAGGAAAAAAATTCAGCCTTAGTACTAATTAAAAATACACAAAAATAAAGTAGCATTTATCTTGCATTTTAGCAGGGAAGCAATATTTAAAATGTTGACAATAAAAAAATTAGATACCAATAAGACATAGGCCATTTATATGCTTTCTGGTTGAGAGCATACACTGACCCATGCATATAGTTTCAAAGTTGGTCCGAAATGATCTACCCATTTTTCCTGTCTACACCTAAGTGGATAGGTGATGAAAGCGACATAGGTTCATGCTCGTTCTCGGTGCTTCCACCTGCAGGTACTGGGAGCCC